GTGTACTTGGTATTAAAATTTCTTTACAGATAGTCTTATATCTGATTAAATCCCAGAAATTTATATAAATACTATGAAAATGTCATATGAATGACTTTTCTTTTTTGGGAGATAAGAATTGAGTTAACCGTGTCATTGTTTGAATGAAAAACCCTGCTTGTATTTCTCCTGAATACTGTGTAATATCTAACAGATAACTTAATTGCATAAAAAGGCATTCTTGTACATTTCATTGAAGTATGTAAATAGACAACCAATTTGGTATTGCCCAATAAAATCATATAGTGATCAGAAAACTAGTTTTGCAGTTTTCCTCAAGGCAAAGTATCTTCGTGAGAAAGACAAGACATTGTCTTGTAAGAAAGTAAGACATTCTTGTTTAATAGTTTCCAGGCATTTAATGCAAAACCAGAAAGAGAGTAAATATTGCAGGATCTGCTACTGCATAGATATGAAACAGGCTGTCATTATTCTTTAGGTACTATAGATGTTGTTTGTTCTCTAACAAAATATTTTTTAAACATGAGAATATAGATACAGTAACATTAAATATTAATTAATACTCTAATATTAAGGACACTGAAGCTGAGAGGTTGATGTCATGTAAAAGGGAAACTAAACATTTGTGAGCAAAACAGTAATGATAAAAACAATGTTAAGGATTAATTAGCATCTCAATGGTATACAAGGAAGAGTCTAAGGGATAAGTTTCCAGTGAATGAGTATGTCTTCTAGAAGTTGTAAAGACAAGCAATGTAAATAATCCAGTTAAGCATTTTATTTATTTAGAGCCCATACTATCAGGCATTGTACTATGTATTTTACCTAATTTCCTCTTTTAGAGATAGAGTTACTAGGGTGATCTACATTATGGGAATTCCACAGACACAGTGTGAGCAGAAGAATTTGACAGTTTCTCATTAGACTTTTGCGACCAAGATGATGAAATGTGGGAGAACGTGAATCCTTTAAGGTATATTGACAACTGGCCAAATTTACGGTCTACTCAGAGTGGCTGTGAACAACTACGTGAGGCTTACAGGGGCGAGCCATTAGGCTCTCTTCTGGGTCTTGACTTGTTCAACGTTCTTACTAAAGGCTCTGATGAGCCCAAAGGTCATGCTTATCCTGTCTGTAGGTAGTGTGAAGCCAAATTATTTATTTCAAGACATGGCAATGAGGATTCAAATTTGGGACACAGCCATGGT